AGAGCTGCAGGAGAACAGGATTACATTACATATTGACACAGAGCAAGCTGTGCACAGAACATGGCCAAGCAGGAGACGAGCAATATCAGAATGCTGATGCAATACATGAATTGACTACGTCCACTCCAGATGTGATGAAACTCGCCGCGGCCTTTCTAGCACAACCAATTCCAGAAAATGTTTCAGCATCCATGCGCTTTGACGCTCTCGGTATCCCGCCCGTATAGATCAACGCTCTCCTGGTCCTCTCCATCGATGTGGCCGTGTGCATATCCTGGTCGTCCAGCTTGCCTAGATGACAGTGCCGAGTTGTTCCGAGCTGTGGCTTCGCAGGTGATTATGCCTAACGTCAATAGACGCCTGAGCCAAGCCTTCCTGAGTCGACACTGACTGTAAATAGGGCTGGCACCACTAGAGGACTGAGCCATCATTGTCCAACGTGGACGTGAAACTACAGTCCTCTGGGAATTTCCTGAAATACGTCACTGAAAAGTAAGGCCCGATATGCTGAACATACCCTTTTGGCTTGTGTGGTCGCTACCTCGACAACACGTCGAGTCGACGTTGCCCTGTGGGACTTGAGGGTGCCGAATGTGCACCAAAACGTTGCCAACAGGTGGAATACGCCGTTCCCGACTGGCAGATCTTGAGGATCTGCTGAGCTTCCCTTACAGTGGACAATTCGCCCCGGGAGATCGAGATGACGAATCAGTCTCCATGTTTTCAGAAGAGGTAGGATATGCCGTTCCCGGCTGGTGGTCCTTGGAAGGCTTGCTGATGAACAGAGCTTGCTAAGGGTCCGGGTCCAAGTCGTATCTAATAAATCAATTTCAGCATATACTTAGCCTGGGACGTCTTACAGGGCGACCTGTCGGATGTGACGGTTGATCGAAGAACTCCGGGTTGAGTCCCAACGAGCGTTGTTTTCCTTTGGTTCTGAGGGTAATCGTTGTAGGCAACCGTTTCATATCATGAGTTCAGTATTCTACCATAAACCTAGATCTCACATAAAGGAGGCTAGAATCATTCTTGCCTCTTGAATAACTTAAAAACGTGGTATTAAGATACACCGCACCTGTTACCAAATCAGGCAATTTTAGGCCGATGGTGCCCAGACCTACTTACCGCGACAGCTTCAAGAAGCAATCCTATTCGCAACGATGGCAGCTGCTTCAGAGGAGCAACCAGAAACAAGAGGCATCGCAAAGAAAAATGTGAGCTTCCAAACCTTCCTTATCAATCTGTGAAGGCAACTTTACATTTCAGCATGGGACACCGATGACATCGACCAGTGAGCATTAATATTGCCCGCACGTCAATTAAAACCACTTCTCACCGTACCTCCTCTCCAGTGTGAGCACCCAAATCACACATGCTTTAACACGTACTCAACTCTACTCCAGTGGAAAATCGATTCATTCCAAGCAGATGACAACAAAGGCGGCGTATTCACCGAAGAATCTTCTTTCGCAACCCTTTTCCCAAAATACAGAGAAAAGTACTTGAGGGAGGTTTGGAGCGCCGTAACCAAAGTTCTAGACGCCCATGTGAGTGCTCACATCCATTCCGCCATACTATGCACACCATCAACTCAGCACCCAGGGTATCGCATGCACACTGGACCTAGTTCACGGATCCATGTCCGTCCGGACAACACATAAAACATTCGATCCATACATCATCCTCAAAGCAAGAGACCTCATCAAACTACTCGCAAGAGGGGTTGCGATCACGCAGGCTCAGAAGGTATTACAGGACGACGTGGCTTGCGATATCATCAAAATTGGGAATCTGGTGCGTAATAAGGACCGGTTTGTGAAGCGGAGACAGCGGATTATTGGACCGGATGGAGTACGCTGAAGGTGAGCGTTGCATATTTTTGACTGTGTGCATGTCGTTGACTTTTTTCAGGCCATTGAGCTTTTGACCCAGTGCTACATTCTCGTACAGGGAATACCGTCAGCGTCATGGGTCCGTACAAATCACTAAAATAAGTCCGATGAATAGTCCTCGATCATGAAAAACATTCATCCTATCTACCGCATCAAGGTGTCAACTAACATTCTTTCCGCAGCTTTATTGAAACGTTCGCAGGAACTCATGATAAGAAGGGAACTCGCAAAGGATCCCAAGTTAGCAACAGAGTCCTGGGACCGGTTCCTCCCCAAGTTCAGGAAACAACATCTGAAGACCTCCGAAAAGACGATGAAGAAGAATGAGAAAGTCGCTGCTAAGGACGAAGCGCGCAAGGCTGCAGGCCTTGATCATCGAGTTCCGACAAAAAGGAGAAACCAGCGAAGAAAGTGTACACGCCCTTTCCCCCGCCACAGCAACCACGGAAGGTAATTCACTCTGCCATTGGTTGTTGAGTAGTGCTGACATGATGTCCAGGTTGACCTTCAGCTTGAGTCGGGAGAGTATTTCCTCAAACCCCATGAGCGGAGGCCCGGGAAGTTCAACAAAGAAAACAAAAGGTGCGTGTTTACTGTGGTCCGCAACAAATCTCATCTTATCTACAGCAAGCTGAAGCAAACTCAAACGACGGGCAGAATGGGCAGAGGTGTATATCGCTCCCACAGAAGAGGCGGCCCCTACAGTTGAAGAGAAACGAAAGCGACGTCATAGGGATGTGCAGACGATGATGGAACTACGAGGTCGAAAAAGAAGAAAAGGACGTTGTTGCATAGGCGCAATGGACTTGCCACACCGTTCGTGTGCACATCGTGAACGCAATGCTACTTGTAGAGTATTTTGATGCACGCTGCGTATTGAAGACATCCTACTGCCAACACTATGTTTGACCCATGATGCATTACTAGCGTTACGCCAATACGATAAAAACCCACTAAGTACACGCACTGAATCGATTCAACAAGTGTCGAACAAAAAGCACGATCAAGTAGGAATATTCCCCTGTGGCCTAAAGTCCCTACTGCTCGCACCGATAGAGAACGAGATCTGGCCATCAGGCTCGCACCACCCCTGAGTGACGACGTCCCAATAGACAGGTCATAGCGCGAGAGCGTGATCGAGGCTTGTTCTGTGCTTGACGGCGAGATTTCGACGTTTGTGAACCCTTTAGGACTGATGGAGGCTTGCTAGCGGAAGACGGGAAGTGAATGTACCGAGGAATCTATTCGCGTGACTTGGGTAAGTATCGAGATAATGAAGTTAAGTGGTGTCACGAACCTCCATTCCAGATACAGGTCCAGTGTTCGTGATTGAAAGTTACCTGGAACAGGCTCTTGGAGACTGGTAAGTAACGATATCAGCCCGCAGATCCTTCATTAGTCTTAATGAACCTCGCCAAAGCGCAGTAGAAGACCCTTCAGCGATGGGTGAAGCCTTCCCGTTCTCCCAAGCAGCGATCAAATCCTCTTGGTCAGCAAAGACAATCAACAGAATCGATGATTAAAATGTATGCACTTACAAGGTTCTTGGCTTTTGGTAGGTAGCAGCCCACACAGGCGCAAAATCGGGCACGATTTGTGGATCAATGCTATTGTAAGAGGATCAGTTGCAGGGTAAACTGGGGGGAGAGGGCTGAGAGTAGGCGTAGGATAGGAGTGAATGAACAGCTAGAGAGCGGAACAGCGATAACACCGGTTGTGGACGCGCCTGAGGTACTGGCGGAAGCAGAAGATTGCAGCAGTTGATGAATAATTGAGATTGTGACCTTACCAGCTACCGTAGCGCTAACATTACCACCCGAAGCAGACGGAGCCAAGGTCGGTGCACCTAGAACGAATAAAATTATACATGACAGTAACAGCAGCAAGCTATGCGTCATATAACCTCTGAACTGATTTCCTTTTTCTGCCAAGGTTCGTTTCCGGACTCCCAACTCGATCTCTCATTTTATTTACTCCTTCGTCTCTGTATCGAAAACCTAGCTCCGTATTCCTTCCGCACCAAGTCCTCATCACACTCGTCACATACGGCATCCAGATACCTTGAATGTTGGTCATGAGATAAGTATCAAAACACGGTCAATATGACTTTGTACCTTCCACGGTGAGCCATAT